GTTCCCTACGTAATTTGTGACAAGAGCTTCCAATACAATGTGCCTCTCGACTATAAGGGTACCAAAAGGTGCCATAAAAATAGTCTGTACTAGCTGAAAACTGTTTACTTCCCGCACTGGCCACACCGTCCCCAGGGAATCTTTCAAGATCTCTCGCGCAATTGTTAACTAACGTAACAGGCGCCTTTCAGAATCTTGCAAGATCAATATTTGCTGGTTAACAAATCAACCACAATCTTCCATTGTCTACAGCCTTAACGATCGTAGAGATTACGTAAAAGCCTCAGAACTAAGGTGAAACAATTAGCTGCGCCTCGCGGTCTCACTGCAAAGTTTTGAGCATTGTTGACGGGATCGATTTTTTTCACAATAACATTGAAATTTTTGCGCCGGCTTAATGCGCCAAATATTTCGGATAATCACGCGCGTGACATGATCGACTGTTGTTATGTTGTTTTGATTTGTGTTATGTAATGACTCCGACAATGAAATACCAGTAAGTAACGAAAGGCATCAGACTCTGTTACTCTGTATTGTCTTGTAAAACGAGTAACAAACACTCGTCAAAAAGACCACGTTTAATTCTCGCGTTTTACTCGCAAACGTATTTGACATCTAAACTACTTTCCATCGTTTTACTTCCCCGGTATTGGTTAAAAAGACGATGATAACTTCGATCGGTCAGCTACGACGAACCATCGCTTTTAGCTTGCTCCTTTTTGTCATCAGTGGAACAACGGGATATCCATCGGGACTTGAAATTATAAATGCATCATTCTGTGGTGAGTGTCTCTTTTGATTTATTTTCAATCCTCTCTCAAAGACATTCTGCCTACAAAAGCTGTTCAGGAACAATTAAAGAATGTTACCAGAAATCGAATGGAAAATAAAATATAAGAATTCTCCGCAGGGAAAAAGAATGGTTAATTTTCTTTCTTTCAACTACTTCGAAAGACATGTACATTTTACTAAACGTGTGTGAGATTAAAAATTCATGTCATTCATGAGGTGATTAATAAAGAAAGAGAAAGTAGGCGATACAAGGAAAAGTCTCCTCTCTTGATTAATCGACTACTTTAAAGGCCTTTAATGATCTTTCCATTTTCAAATTTTTCTGATTGTATTTTCAATTCCCAGGTTTTATAATTCGTTCTCCATTCTTGATCGTTTATTCTCGATTCAAAAAAAAATTCGTTTCCGTTTCCATTGTCCTCTGCCTATTTTAGTAAAACCAGCTGCGGATAAGACCATTCAAGTTTTGAAAAGTCACCACTTTTTGCGGACAAAATGTAAAGAACTTACCCATTGTAATATTCTATGCGTTGCTATTTCAAAGCTCCTCGTGGGCCAGGAAATACGTCAGAAAGATGGGGACTGAAAGACAAGTCCTTATTTATTGCTTGTTGGGAGGTTGGATAGTATGTACTTGATTCCCATTCAAAGGTCTGTAATATTCTTACTATCTTTTCTCATTGGGAATTTTCTACAGTCTCCCTTTTGTACGCTGTCGGCGACGACTGATCCCCCATCCCCTCCCATGCGATCCTGCAAAAAAACTTCTACCTCAGGCCCAAAAGTATGGAGAAATAAGAATCACATCAGCCGTTGACTAATTAGTGACTGAACTGTTAACTGTTTTTCTTTTTTTTTTTCCCTGTAGTCCACGGTTTTAGAAACCTTTAGCTATTATATATTTATGTGCAGAGTTAAATTCCCAAAGCGTCAAAATAGCATTGAAACTCAAGCTCTATTGTTGCAATCTTTTTTAGGAAAGTATGATAAGCCTCCAACGTGTAAAGTTTCTCACTGGCCTTTCATTCCCACTGGTAGTCTTGTCAATTTTAGTGTAACATTTACACTTTGTAGGTTGGTGTCGATTGAACATGGAGGTGTTATTATATTTTCTTGTTTTTCTTGTTTTTTTTTGTTTTTCTTTTAAATCAAAAACGATATTGTAAACACTGGGAGGGAGGAGAGGCTTATGAAATTCCAAGGCTTCCAGACGGAAGTTGATCAGAGGAAAAGCTTTTCAGAGGTGGGGAAGGGGGTAGTTGATGCACAACAGATACAGCTCATATTGTATTACTTCCTTTATTACACAAGGTTATTCTTGTCACTTTCTTACTAATACTTGCTTCCAATAGTGGTGGATGTTCTTGAAGCAATATTGCAATACGAGTTGGTTTCAGACGGCAAGGTTATTGTCAGGGACAGGGAAGACGGTGTATACATTTCTTCACCAGACCTGTGAAGCTTACCTGCTGGTAGTTAGACTTCAAAAGGGAGTTAAAAAAAAAAAGGTGGGTAAAGGGATTAGGAGAAATTTTCGCACGCATGGGTCTTTTTACATTATCAAACATCTCCAAAGCTTACCGAGTACTCCGCGCAACGGATTGTATCGAAATTATAGGTTCTGCTCTTTAAAAATTCCAGCCAAACTCAAGGAAACTTTTCCCATCAACTGGAAAAAGCCCAGTAATTATATCAATCAAAAAGTCTATCATACCAATCTCACTTGTTTGCGTTAATAGTTGTTTATATTACATAGATTCCTTTTCTCTTATATCCCTGTGATCGTAGTCATGCATATCTGTCGAGATTAGCATCAATTTAAATAGTTTCTTTTCCAAATATTTTTTCAACCCACAAAGGTGCGAGCTGAGACACATCGAGACGTGTTTGAAAAATCAAAAATGTTACTAATTTCTCCGAATAGTGTTCTCGACGATCTCAAACAGTGTTAGCTTCGAATTCCAAAAAAACAGACAAACAAAAAACAAAAACAAACAAACAAAAAATGATATCAATAGCAATGGAGTATTTTGGCGATCTATTATCGTTAATTGATCAATAATGTGATATATTGCTCTTGGTGGTGTCTCCCATTTTGACTGACCTTATCGCATTTTTGCTATCATTGTTATTTTTTGTCTTCTAGAAACCAAAGTGTGGGTCAGATCTGAAAAATTTCCGTCCATTCCTCCATTTTTCAAGATAATCAATCAATTAACGCAGCCTCGTCAGCTCACGGGTTTCAGTGCTTGTGCTATCTGATTGCCTGACGGTATTTCAGTCTTTCCTCCCTCCCTAGATTTATTCTGGTTTGTTACTTATAACGATTTAGTTTTTGTTTTTTCCTTTATAAGGGTTATGCCTCCATCTTATAAGCGCCTATACATTTTCAACGAAGTTGAAGCCGAACTCTCTTGTAAGCACTTATTCTATTGGCTCCAAAATCAGCACTCTGAGGGTTTTAAAATTCGTTAGCTACCATCCAAGCCTAAAGATTTCTCGCTTCGTTGCAAATTGGTTTGATCAACTGAGTCAAAAATACAAATCAGCCTCCGTGAAGAGTTTCTAAAGCTGACATTTCAAGCGTCAGTCTCTCTTTCTGAGTAACGACTAACGCTTGAAAGATCGGCTTTGAAAATTCTTTACAGTGGCCAGTTGACA